AGGAATGTCTTTCCTTCATTACAGAGGTAAATTGCATTACAAGGTCTTACATACAGACAACGAACCACCAGATTAGGGAGCAGAGAGGCTGGTAGCACAGAAGATGAGAGGACTGTCAGGTGCATTAAAGCAGCCCAGGGGATGAAGAAGTGATCTGTACAAAATGTACTTGCTGGAGAAAATGAGCAGCTTCTTTCTCCTTAAGAAAAACCTGTATTTTGTTCTGACTTTAACAAAATAGGCCTCTGTCTCAGATTTGGACTGGCTTCCCAGAGTTGGTAAAAATGTTAGGGCAGTATGTTTTCTTTAACTTCTGAAAATCATAAAATTTTCCCAGTACCACAGAAAACAGGAACATCAAGAAAATTTGCCCCTAAAATTGTGTGCATGAAGTAGTTTTTCCTTGAGGACATGTCCATTTGATCACCTTTAGATGCAAAGGTATTGTTCATTTCTCCCAACTGGCAAGTTTAACTTGGCTTCATTCAGCGAGACTTTACTGGAACACAAATTAATCAGTTCACGAATTTTCCTTATGCCATTCTGCATCACGCAGGAGGTCAAAACACAACGTTATTTTTAAACCATAAAGCTTGTCTTAAACTTAACTACAGATATACAGGGATACCTCTGCTTATTCCAACAAAATCTTTTACTTCAGACTGGAAAGTGTATTTCTGCACTTCACCAGCATGGCCAAAAAATACACTCCTGTTACTCTGACATCCAGCTTTACCTTTAGACATCAGTAGGGATTCTGTCAGTAAAATTATGGTAAGAATGAGCTTTTAAAATACGCTTCACAGAAACAGAATTTGTAGCTGCCTTTCTGCTTGTAGCCACCAAAACCTCCTGAGTTTTTCCTCATCAACCCGAATACAGCATTTTAGCACAAAAGCAAAATGGAGACATTGGAATCCATACTACAAACTGGTAAATCCTGGATTCAGAATTCCTGTTCAGATTTATTTATATTTTCAGACAAAGCATCAACACAAGGAACAGTGTAATTAAAGGAAAAATATAAAAGGTGTATGATTATCTGTTTATTATTGTTATTTATTTTTGTAACTTACTTGTTTCTACCTTCAGAAGTGGACTTAAGATAGTCTGTGCCCCTTCTGGGTTCCTTGCTGCTAATAAAAAACTATAGCAAATGCCAGGAGACAAGTGCACAATTTTTGTTTGAGTTGTATTCATAGGCAAGTTCAGAATGTATGGTTTCCACTGATCAAAATAG